AGATATTATTGTTAAATATGTGCTGAGGAGAGGAATATTTTATTAATCAGGGTTTAAATTAAATAAAAGTCTATGAATTGTTAAAACTTTGAATGAGAGCTAACAAAGTAAAGGAAACTTTTGGCAGATCTTTGAGTCCTACTCTAGTTATCTATTAGTTGAACAGAAGTGACTTTTTGTGATAAAACCTAACATCTATTTTAAGAAAATATACCACTCTTTTCAATGCAATTAATTGATAATTAATTTAAATAATTAACGTAAACATTGTTTTTAGTTTTATGTATCAAATTTGCAAATATGTGTTATCTTTCTATTAAATTATCGTTATTTGCTAATCAAAGAAGGGGTCAAATGTATTCATGTATTCATAAGAAGAGAGCAATTAATATGTTATAATTAAGCATTCATTTCATTTATAATCAGAATTAGTGAGAGATGGCATGAATTGGTGTAAATTGATGTCTAAATTAACATAAACTCGTATTTAAGGCACATATGAAGTGTGAAGAGGGAGTGAAGTGGTGTCTGATGTCGTGATCTTTTCTCTTCGAGCTCTTCAAATGTGATAAATTGTTTTTACAATTTTGTTTTTATTAACCCAATTAAGTGCTGGAATTAACTGACAAACCATTCATACATTAATTTCAGCCATACATTAAGCATTAAATTTGATTTATTATTTATTTTTCGCGCATTGAAAGAAATCGCCTCTTTTTTAGCGAATTATACATACATTGCATAACCAATTATGACGAGGGATGCGGTTCAAGGGCGACGACAGCCCTCATCTGTCGACTGCAAGACACACGTTGGGAACGGCTTTAGTCGACAACATAACGCCTCACACGAGAGTATAACTCTGTTGAACAGCAGTAGTGGCCATAGAGACTATCGCACCACTCATACCATGTCTGACAAACCGAGTGTCAAGAAGTCCGACAGTTCCCAATCGGTGAACGATGGCCTACAGCTCAAGAAGGAGTTGGGCCTTCTCAACGGCGTGGCCATCATTGTGGGCATTATCGTCGGCAGCGGTATATTCGTGTCGCCCAGAGGTGTCTTAGAAGAGGCGGGTTCTGTCGGTTTGGCGCTCATTGTGTGGATCTCGTCGGGTATCCTCTCAGGAATCGGTGCCCTCTGTTATGCAGAGTTGGGCACATCTATACCGAAGTCCGGCGGAGATTACGCTTACATTAACGAAGCGTTTGGACCGTTGCCCGCATTCCTGTAATACAAGTCATAACTTTCACCACATTTTCAATATTATCGACGAAATTAATACTAAAAGCATTGAAACAAAAACTTTTATGGTTTCAGTTTCCTATGGGTTGCGCTATTGATTATAATGCCGGTGGGAAACGCCATCGCGGCCCTCACTTTCGCCAATTATATACTTCAGCCACTGTTTCCCACATGCGATCCGCCGGACAACGCCGTCAGACTCGTCGCCGCGATTGTTATTTGTAAGTAATTGTTCAAAAAAATGATTCAATGAAACGCTTAAAAATATTCCTCAATGCAATTGCAAGGCATTGAGAGGAAAGCATGTGTATTATGTGTTGAAACACTTAAAACACCACTCATGGTATTATTGGATTCTCTTATGGCTTATGTGTAGGTTTGCTAACATTTGTCAACTGTTATAACGTTAGCTACGCTACGAAAGTGCAGAATGTGTTCACATTCGCCAAAATAGCTGCCCTCATATTAATAGTCATTTGCGGTTTTGTGCATCTAATACGTGGAAACGGACAGAATCTGTCGTATCCCAAGTCCTTTGACAACACCAACACATCTCCCAGCAAAATAGCTCTGGCCTTTTACTCAGGCCTATTCTCATACGCCGGTTGGTATGTATACCATATGAACATAACTATTGATATAACCTATGCTTGAAATTTAAGTACAGTTAAGCTTCGTATCAATCGTTGTGTTTATTTTTTTTATCGCAAACATACTATGAGTTCATTCAACCATTTCATAAAAAATTATTTTTAGGAATTACTTGAATTTCGTAACCGAGGAATTGAAGGAACCATATAAAAATTTGCCCAGGGCTATTTATATATCGCTACCATTAGTGACAATTATCTATTTGCTGACAAATATCGCGTACTTCGCTGTCTTAACGCCGGATGAAGTGTTGACATCCAATGCGGTCGCCGCCA